GAGTATCTTCTAGGGGCGTGTAGTAATGTACAGCAAGATTCAAACTACATGCTCATGATGTTTGAACAGGATGTCGTGAGGACATTGTTCGTTCATTCGTCACACATTTTCTTTCATTGTACAAAACCTTTTGACTCGGCAGTGCCAAAAATTTCCAGAAAGCATTGCCACAACTGGGAGGGGAGATTCCTAATCTTTTATTAAAAGTGTGGTGTCTCGTTGCCCCTGCATCCGCAAGTACCAACAATCTGGGTATGGCACACAAAATTGGTTTAGCGTTGAGGGTTTAGAATTTAGGGTTTAATGGTTTTCAAGATGAGCCCCAAGAGCTGGACTTGAACATGATGATGTTCGGTACCAGATGCTCGATGGTTCTTGATACATCAGAGCGTCAAATTAAAACTTTTTAGCAGTCACGCGCTCTGTAAAAGCCTGACGCAGACACTTTTAGAACCCTAAATCAAAAGCCAGGGCAGGCGTCTGTTGCTTGAGCCTTCTTTGCCCAGAGGATCGTGTTGGTTTCAACAATTAACCCTAAACTGCCCGATCCAGACGGGTTGGTTAGTCTACAGCGCCAAGTTTTGATGACCCGGCTGAGTGGCCCATCAGATGACTCATCTCCAATTATTATGGTTTACAGTGTAGGAGTTACGGTCTGCGCACGACATTTTGCCGAATGCTGAAGGTTCTCAAGACTGCGCACTAGGCACCTTAAATCCTATATTGTTGAACCTTAGACCCTGAATCCCACATCCCTAAACTTTGTCATTCGTAAGCCCTATGCCGTACTCTATAGTAGTAACAACAGTGATGCCAGTACCACTCCAGTCATAATGGTCATAGTAACTAAGAATAGTACCTGGACCACCAAAGTAGGTAAAATCATCGCCCACAAGCCCAAACAAAACAGCCCAAGGGGCTAGTATTCTACATATTTTTGGGGTTCAGGTAGTGATGATAGTCCGGGCCTAGGCAGCTAGAAGAACTCCATTCTTCTGAAGCGGCTCTCCGGAAAGAAAATCAGGACCACCATGTCTAGGAATGAGGGGCAGGGTTGAGGGTTTCGGGTTTAGGGTTCAGGGTGTAGGGTTTCAAGCCCTTAAGGTGCATTGTTTGGGGTTCCTTGCCCCAAGACAGACTTTTCTCAGATATCAAGAGTGGATCCCCCAAACATACTTCCTTCCCAGGCTTCAAAGGAAGTTTAAGACCTCGCGGGTTACTATGCTGGTCACAGTCAGGAATGGTCCAGAAATTCCAAGTGTTTGGATTCCTGATAGGGCTTAGGGTTTAGGGTCCCTAAATCCTAAACCTTACACCGCTGTTCAATGTTTTCAAGATGCCCTATAACATCTATGTCCTTCGCAAGGGAGTCCCATGTTCCTGTAGGGACTTCTAAGTTTCAAGCCATACTGTTGACGGATGAATCCCTGTACGTTAAGTGCTTGCCATTTAAAATGTCAACTTCATTGAGCCCAGGAGGCTGTTGTCTATCAACACATTAAACTCGGTTGCTGTTAAGGAACTTACATTAAGTTACCAG